CAACTTTTATTAAACACGTTTTTCGATATCTCTTCCCTTCCAAAAGGTATACAATTATGAGTATAGAGAAAACAAAGTTTAGTCAAGTCTATTAAGTACTGGTTTTATCACTATAAAACCGCACTGCTAATTTGGAAGTTTTCCGGCCTGTCCCAAATATCAGAATCATATCTACTTGTTCATTGAGTATTAATTTTTTAAATAAATGTAGTAAACATCCACGAAAATAAGTGATATATATCATTAATCATCAAAAGTATAAGTGTTTTAAAAAATCAGTAAAGACTTGACCTGCTATCTGATATCTGATACCATCTTACATTTATTAAAAGGATGGAAAGAGAGATTTCCCATAATATAATAGTTATTTATTGTATAAGTGTTTTAATGCGAGAACGTAGTCCGAGCATTTAATATTCTTAAGTGGATAAAAGGCAATTAAAACACGAATGCAATACAACGTTTTATCCATAATCACATCACAATAATATATGTGGAGTCAGAATTATTGGAATTTAGTAAAAAAATATTCGCACGACTTTATATTTCTTACTAGTATTCAATGAAACGTGGTAGGTACTGTTATACCTACTGGTTGCTATGGTACGTTGTTTATTATCAATTATTTAATAAATATTTCTAACTGAATTCGGTAAAATTGGGTTTTTCGATACCTTGACTTGGGCAGAAAATATACGCGCTCGCGTTTTCGACTTTATAATTTTGCAATGGGCCGCCATTTTGGAATTGGGGTCCGGATTGCGGGTATTTGCTGAGTCCCTCTTGTCCCGTAGATTCATCCAATTTCAGTCAAATTCGTTCTATTTATTTAATGCTGAAAGTTTTGCACATTTTTATTCACCACCAATTTTGCAATGTAAAAAAACATTTGCGAGCTTTCGCAAATACTTACTCTTGTCGCAAATTTCCTCAGGAACAAAATCGATAAGTATACCTCATGTCGATTATAGGCTTATTTTCGAAGATATAAGCGAAAAACTGAAAAAAAGCAATTATTACTTTTTTCTTTTATTATAAACAATATGACGCTCGACCTCTACAAATACACAAATTTAGGCTTTTATTATGTGTATTTTTTACTTAATTTTAAGCCCATAAAATTCTACCTAGGCCCCATTTTTTAAACAGGCTTGTGTTTGGACTAATTCGCCCGGATTACATTAACATTCCCATTATAAAAACCATAAACAAACACCATACTTGCACACTCTAAATATGAATAAGTTTTTGGCATTTTGTAATATCTACATTGATCGTACAAACTGTACGCAAATTGTACTGCAGAGACGGGCGGTATACACTGATTTAAACAATAGTAAAAGCTAAGTAAAGATAAAGTTTTTTTGGGGAAACGCCGAGCGACGAAGGGTCTGGCGAAATCGCGAGAACAGAAGATCTAAGCTACCTGGTAGAATATATGAAAGGCAATAATTAATGTATAATAATATATTTTACAACAAGAAGGCCAAATAACAACTAAGGTAATTAAACCCATTTAAATTAACAAATATTTAAGATTTTTATAAACCGTTTTAATTAATTTATATTTTATTGTAAAAAAAAATTAAATAAAAAAGTTTTTCGATACTTATGTTAAGCTACTAGAATAATTTCAACTCGATTCATTTCTTATGTATTACCATCTACAAAACTAAATTCGGTGTGTTATTTATTTAGAAATATTAAACCGATCTTATCTAAAGAACAACTAATATGTTTATACCATGCGCAGTTAGGATCACGACTGGGTTATAGAGTAATCTTTTGGGGTAACTCCTCCCTGGCTTCGGATATGTTTATAGCACAAAAAAGAATTTTAAAATGTGTAGCTGACGTTTCTAGATATTACTAATGTATGCATGATTTTAAGAATATTGGTGACTATAAATTAAGTAAAGATGTTTATAATGTGAATACTAGGCAAAAAAATGAATTTTATTTACCATTTTGTAAATATACTTTATCTCGCAATTCACCAGACTACATGGGTGTACAAATTTTTAATAAACTTCCATGGTATTTAAGGGAGATAAAATATATAAATTATTTTAAATATAAACTAAAAAAATACCTTGTCGACAGATGCTTTTATGGTATAAATGAATTCTATGCTGAAGACTAAATTGGTGACAAGAGTGTTTCCAATTTTTATTATTATTGTTAGAGTTACTTTTAATGTAATTTGAATTTAATACCTATGTTGTATTTATACCTGACTATTCCTATACAGTTATTGTAATTGTCTAACGGAAAATAAATTTATTATTATTATTATTATTATTATTATTATTATTATTATTATTATTATTATTATGTTCTTTTACATCAGGTACTACATAATGCATTTATTTTAGGCCTTTCTTTCTTCTTTTTATGATTTTTCCTCTTTAATCCACAAAACAGCAAACATTTTTTGGTAAAACTATATTGTTAAAACTCCAACTTGGAAGTCTGGGATTCGTGCTGTTTACTATTGCATAGCGAAGTGGTTTGGCTGAACAATAGAAAAAAAAACGAAACTCTAATAAGGAATAGGGTCATCTTACACCTAAGAAGTACTTAAGGTTGTATGGTGCCAGTAGATGATTTGTGCCACATTAATGTCAAACGCCATCATCTTGTTAAAAAGCACGCATATATCTTCAAATTATAATTACTATTACTTATTTTTCAATTGCCACACATGTATTATTTTATAAGCATTACTTGGAAGACAGCTGTTGCTCGAGTACCTAATTATCATATCATTTTTTGCTAATCTAATATACTTATTTCATGTAATTTGTTCTAAACTAAATCCTACTTTACTCAAATTATCATTAATCAAATTATTGCTGAATTAATTTATATTGATATTAAAAATTTATGCTTTTTACATTTGGCGCAAATAATTTATAATAGATATTTATATTGCATTGTGTTATCTACTATTTGTGTTGTTTTGTAATCCTCCAACCCTTGTCAATTTTAATTGACTGGCGCTCATGCCTACTATACTCTGAACAAATTAAAAAAAAAAAGAAAATCTCAATGAACCCACGGCCAGCCTCCGATAATGGAATAACCGTTAGCAAAATTATTTCTAACAAAAATGAAAAAAGTAGAGAGTAATAAGGTTGCAAAATGTTTAATCAAATGTTATTGCAACATAAAATGACACTGACAAATATCTTACTTTTGAACTTGGAACACGACATACTCATTTCAAAATTTGTAATTACGCTGTAACTTGAAAACAAATGAAAATCGCGTAACAGCATTTGAGCTTTCTCTTATAATATTGACTTATTCTTCTTACTCATCCTGTATACTTCTAAACATCTTCGAACAAACGAAGATATTGAAACAAAATTTTGTGTACACAATATATGAATAAAATGACATTTAACGTGAAAAAATTAAGTGTCAACTCAAACAGTGACGTTCAACTAAATATTTTCAAGTGCACAATTTTGTTGAAACGGAAATGATCTATTGATATTTTTTGATAAGGTTCACACTTTTCAATACGCCCTTTCACATATCTGTCCACTCTCTTAAATATTCCTATCGTAATGATAAATGTAATAAACGAGACTTTCAAGTCCAATTTTTTATAGAAAAAATATCTCTGTTTATACGAATTGTTAATTTATGCTAAAAAGGCTGCACAAGAAAGTCAAGAGACTATTTTCTTTCAAAAATATTCACTTTCCAATGGCGTGCCTTAGTTCTGATGATTACGCAACCAGATATGCTACTTCATTTCGAACACTGTAAAATTTTATTTTGTTCAGAAGATATTTGTCGGTCGATAGCCGCACGGTTTAAGGCGTCAGTACTTAAATCTATGTGTCGAACTGCCCGGGTTTCGAATCCCGCGGCCGGTGACCGTAGATTATCTATACTTGTACGGACGATTGGCGCCCTCTGTGCAGGTATGGTAGGGTGGAAGAATGTTGGCTTGGGTCAATGTGAGAGATTGACACCGGTTGGCATTTGACCACCCCCCTAATTAATGAGGTTTTCCAGGTTTCCCTCATTCCTGCACTAAATGGTGGTTAGGGGAGCATAAGTCGTTCCTGGGAGCAAATGCGGCCTGCGTAATAGTAATATGCCGCTTCCTCTCCCGCACAAGTCTCAGACTTCTGGGCTAATTCTCGTAATTAGAATGAGGAGTAGAGATATTATTATTATTATTATGTATAATTTTTGTTATCGATCTGTGGGGTTTGAAAATAAATTTATACAGGGTGTCCGGAAAGGTCATGTCAAAAATGAAGGGGTGTACAGGGGAGCTCAAAATAGTTGTAGTACTTCATATTTTTTTTTTCCTATCGGGCTTCGTTGTGGAGTTATTCGCCTTCAAAGAAAGAAGCTTGACAACAAATTCCAATTATAATTTCTAAGTCGTTACCATGACAATAATGAAATTTGGGCAATTAAAGTAACTCAGGGTAATGTTCATTTCCAAGTTTAAACTGATATTCAATATGCCTTGATTATACAGGAGCAGACAAAATTATCCATTTAAATTTAGACTTCTTTGACAGCGTTGCCAAATTTGGCATTTTCCTTTCATAGTTCGATTCCTCTTTCAATTCGTTAAAAAAAAGGTATACCATATATCAATCGATATCTTGTACCGTTTTTGAGAAATTCGAATTTTATTAACAACATACATGTATTCTATCAAAAATGCGATATTAACATTTTTGCAAAAATGTTGGAAATTAAGATGTTTAGTTTAGTTCAGTGTTTATTGACCATGTTAAATTGCATACAATTTTTATGGCAAGTCATATACAAAAACAAAAATGTACAGATATACACGAAAAATGACTATCAACAAGTACAGGGCTTTCATTAATGTCCGAGACCAACGTGTCCAAATTGGTTGTCACTATCAATAAATTTGATTTTCTTAAGTTGGCTATTACGAAAAATTTCAAGTTTAGGGACCCTAAACCAGCTGTCAGTCCAGAGGCGTCCACGGTACCGCGGCCGATAGTTTACGTCATTACTTTCTTATGCCAGTACGTTTTTCCCTGATTGTTTTTCTGATGTACCAACATTTTTACGTTTATTTACTTTACTGACAACAGTTCTTTTGAGAACTACATAATTTATTTGTGTTTTTTACGTAAGTAAATAATGTATTTTAAGGTTATGTTTACTTATATCTGTTTCATATTTTTAGACTTCAAGTGTTTAAAAATGCCTTTTACACCTGAGCAAGATGCCTATATATTATAGGTACATTTTCGGAGTGCCACGCGAAATCCAGATGGAATTTGGTCATATTCATTACAATCCTGTATTGATCAATTCACTGAAGCTTTCCCTGATGTAGACGTTGATTTTGACGTTTTTAGGAAGCACAAATCAATACTTGTCAAGAGATATGATGAAAAACATTGTATTTGTAAGGGGAAATCAACAGGCAGGCCAACAGTTTTAACTGAAAATGCAGTTGACGATATTCGAGAACGTATGGAGCAGAGCCCTAAAAAATCTATCCCCCAGTTGTCTGCCCAAACAGGTATGCAGGTAGTTTTTATGTTACACACATTAAATACTTGAAACTACATTTATAATTAACTTAAAAGCCTTAAAATTAATTTCTGTGTGTATTTATATGAAATTCTCATAAGACGTTGTGAGAATGTGAGTGAGATTCATGTAGACAAAATGAAGCGGCACAAATTTCAGACTGTTATATGTTGTAAAAAAATAAAAATTTTATATCGTTTAAAGATAACGTATGTACATTTCTGAATATTTGTTTTGTCGATAGGGTTCTCGGTGGGAACGTGTCACAAGGCTTTAAAAAAGGAATTGCACATGCATCTATACAAAGTCTCTATTGTTCAGCAGTTGCATCCACCAGACTACTACCAACGAATACGGTATTGTGAATGGTTCAATGAAAATCTGAACAACAATGATTTATTGAATTTGACGTTTTTTTCTGACCAGGCATGGGTTCATCTATCAGGTTACATTAACAGCCAAAATTACAGAACGTGGGCTACAGAAAACCCACATGAGTTTATTAAAACTTCGCTACATCCTCAAAAAATTGGTATATGTGTAGCCGTTTCAAGGAGGCGGATAATAGGACCAATTTTCTTTCAAGAAGTGATAAATGGTGAAAGGTATAGGTGGATTTTACGACAAGCTTTAGAGCAAATGCATGATGACGAATTACGGTTTGGATATTTTCAACAAGATGGGGCACCAGCACACACACTGCAGCAGAAACGGTTAGATATTTGGAAGAATTTTATGGGGATCGAATTATTAGTAGGGGATTGTGGCCTAGTCGAACCCCTGATCTTACACCTTTAGATTATTATCTCTTTGGACGTATAAAAAATATTTTCAAGCAGCGAGTTCACACACTTGAAGACCTAGAAGTAACGATTCGCCATGAAATCGAATCCATTACGCAAAATGAATTGGAACGTGTTTTCGAATGCATGAAACGGAGGGTAAATTTATGTCTAGAAAATGAAGGAGGACATTTTGAACACCTTTTATAATAAAAACTAAACAAAATACCACTCAGCAAAACACTTTTTAATTGTGCGTTGAGAATGTTAACTTTGTTAACAAAACGCAGCATCGGAAAAAGTAGAAGTGTTTTGGTGAGTGGTAAAATTATTTTCTGTTTTGTATCGACATCAAACGTTCCAAACCTATCCTAAGATAAACAAAACTATTGTGACTTATTTATATTCTCTACCTGTTAAAACTTCTAGTTTAAATTTGAACAAGTGTAAACATAACTAATTTTTTACATGGAACATAAAAATTTTATGGCAAGATGTATGCAATATGTAATAAATAAAATTTTTAATAAATATTAAATGTTCAACAATCAATTGTAAATAGTTTTTTTGAATTTGACTTATCCAGGTATAAGTCGGATATCTTCATTTCAGTTCTGAGTTAAAGTAAATTTCTAAATTAATCATCATCACATCAAAATAAACGGCTAAAATGACATATTTCCTTTGATAAAAATAAAATATCTACACCACTGGTGTTATAGACTGATTCAGTGTTTTAATTTTTATGGAATACAAATTTGTATTGGGAAATGTAATGTTGGTTGCCTATCGTCGCGGTCACGTGGGTCTCGGACATTAATGAAAGCCCTGTATGTATAATTAGCAGTTCATTAGCAGTATGTATAATTGACAGTATATGTCATAAATCATTTTGATGCCACTTGTTGATTCAACATCATGGAGAATTTTAGCTATGAAGAATATTTGCAGATATGCATCTAATGTACGAACCTGAGAATGTAATGCTTTTGAAGCTGTTCGGATTTACGCCAACTGCTTTCCAAATAGAATAGAATTTGCATATTTTAAGTGACGAAAACCCCCATGCTATTATTCAGGCAAAACACTAACAAAAATTTATCATTAATATATGGATGGAAATAATTGAAAACTACTTAGTGGGACAACATATTATTGATGACGCTTTAAATGGGGATAAATACCTACATTTACTGCAAGAACACCTTAACCCGTTATTGGAAGACGTCCCTTTAAATATTTGAAACAACATGTGGCTTATGCCGGATGGTGCACCACCCCATTTTAGCAGGCCAGTAAGGACTTATTTAGATACCACATTTTCCGATCGATGGATCGGTCGAGGCAGTCTTTTTCCGTGGCTGCCTCGGTGTCCCGATCTTAATTCTCTGGATTTTTGTCTTTGGGGCCATCTTAAAAGTATTGTTTATCAAAATCCTACAAATTATTAAAGAAGAATTATTAAATCGCATAATTACTTACGCCGACATCATTAGAAATGATCACATGTTATTTTGAGCCTACAGCAGAAGTGTTTGAGCAATTTCCGAAAATGCATTGAAGTTTAAGGTGTACATATTGAACATCTTACTTAACAGTTCTTTTTATTTTAATTCTATAGCAATCAAAATTTTTACAAAAATGTATCACATACATCAGTACAATAAATGTACCTATGTTGTTAATAAAATTCGAGTTTCTAAAAAAAGGTACAAGATATCGTCTGATACGGTAGGTATACCTTTTTTTAATAAAGTGAGAGGGGAATAGAACTATGAAACAAAAAAGGCATATTTGGCAACATTGTCAAAGATGTATAAATTTAAATGGATCATTTTGTCTTTTCCTTGAATATCAGTTTAAACTTGGCAATGAACATTACAATGAATTACTTTAATTGCCCAAATTTCATTGTTGTCTTGGTTAACGACTTAGAAGCTATAATTGAATTTGTTTTTCAAACTTCTTTCTTTGAAGGTGAATAACTTTTTTAGCTCCTCTGTACACCCCTGCATTTTTGACATGACCTTTCCGGACACCCTGTATAGCAAAGATTATTTTTACAAAAATCTGTAGGATCTAGAATTTTCAAGGTTAAAGCTCGGGACACTCCGTAAGTAATATATTTGCGTTCTGACAGATCGTAATCGTCGTAAGTATGACTTTTGATGCATTATAGATACCTACATAACTGTAATCAATATAAACTGATATTCGGAAATTATATCAGGCTAATACAATTGCAATTGAAATGGGACAATTGACTAAATTAAGGGAATTAAATATTTCTGTTCAATAAAACTCTTGTGACATAGCTTGCTTTTAACGTGCTATTAAATTGTTGGATTTCCTCATTCACTTCTTATGTTGCTAAAGTTTCGTTATAAATCTGTTTAGATAAAAAGTTTACGACGTTAGATACGGTTGTAACTTTGGATCAGTTTTAGTTCCATGGAGCTTTCAATAGCATTTCCTTAGTATTATGACAGTGGTAACATTTTATAATTTAACTAGCTGATCTGTTTCATTCAAATAATAATTTAATAAATACTATATATAAATTGTTAACTACTTGTTGCAACAGTTTCATAAAAACCGGCTCCCGCGCCAAATTTTAAAAAAATTAGTTCCAAATGGATATTTTTGAAAAAATGCCTTGCGTTTTTTATTCATTCATTTTTGAAGAAATTCCAACATCAAGAAAATATATAAATTTAACGAGAATTTTTAAAAGTAATTTGAATTTAAAAAAAATATCTTACTTCTATTCACAAAAAAGAGTTTTTTGGTCTTATGTACAGGATGTCCCACTAAGGTCGGCGAGGTACAATACTAGAGCCTAGCCTAGAACTTCGGGAAAAAAGTTTATTTACATAAATCGACCAAGAGAAATCGTTAGAAATAGTTTTCAGTTCGTAGCTCGGCCGCTAAGGAGACTACATACCTAAACATACAGTTAAATTTTTCTCAGAAATGTTCCCTCTTCAGGTATATTAAATAGTATAAATATAGATAGCCGGGTTCATTGCCCACAACTTTTATTATTGACATTTTGTTCTATCTCTCTACACAAAGGGTGGGGGAAGTCCCTAATGTCTGATCAGAAAAATGCATTTTTTTAAGGATTGTCTCATCAAAAGTCCATAGTGTTATACCTCGTTGGAAAGGTCTTTTCATGCTTTATCTCGTGGTGGATGCTTAATGTCATTTACCTCAATATGGAAACCTATAGATGGCGTTATTTCAAAAGAATACCGTTTTATGGATTTTTCTGAATAATTTTAAATGTAATGCTATAGTTTTCTTAGTTTTCTTTACATAAATGAATTCAGCACAAAAAATTGATGAATATAGGATAAGTTTGAAATTTCTAACGAAAGTGTCGTTTATTCATTGAAGCTATTTATCTAAATTTAGGTTATTCCACGTTTTCTTAAAGAAGTGAAATAGCAGGATAAAACTTTTTATAGGTTAGTTTGAAGAGCATAAAATAGCTACATTTTGACGCCAAAAAGGCTTCGATATCTTTTTTTGTTATCAAGTTATTCGCAAATTAGTAAGCAAAAAATAAATAATGATAATGAATTGAGGAACACGACGCTAACGAAAAGATATTTAATTGCCAAAACAAAAGGCGTTTATAAAAGAACCTACTTAAACACACCGCATAGGTTAAATTCCTTAATTGAAAATAACTGTAAGCAATTCGAACATTTATGTCACCTTTATTTTTGTTAAAATGTAATTGTTCTTTCGTTACATAATATCAATATCAATTATTTTTGTTATTATTTTCAGGATTGTTATTGACACTCATTTGCGTGGATTTAGGTGCATGATTTTTTAATGTTTTTCTGTAATGACAATAATGTTTTGAAATACGCCCCCATTTTTGCTGCAATAACATCTTAATAAATTATGGAACAAAATGACTTCTGATCTAGATGAAATTCCTTTTTATTGTGAAAGATTGTACTGCAATATTAGCCCTCCCTTTTTGTGGACTATTCCTTGCTTTAAAAATTAAGACATTTCAAAATGGCTGGAAAGGAGGAATCAAAGTTTGTAGAGCATTTAAAAAAAGTTCAGAACTATAGACTAAAATCATTTGCAATTCCTCAAAGGTCTTTGAAAGAGCTCTGTACAATCGTTTGTACTTTTCCGTACAAAACCACACTCCATTTCATCATAGATTTGTTAGCGGTAGGTCAATTATTACCAATTTAGCTGTCTTTGATGAATATATTAGGCATGTTTTAGATAATAGAGACAGGATAGAATAGATCACAAGGTTTTTTTCTTTACAAATCGCCAAATTTTGGTTTCCATAAGTCTTTATTGATTCTAACTTATATAACAGAATGCAGTATGTCACAACGGGATTCTATTACTTGCGTAGCAACTTCTGGAGTACCTCAGGGTTCTCTGCTTGGACCGTTGCTGTTAATTTTGTTCGTTAATGATCAGCTGTTGCAAATTATTGTACGTTTTGATGATTGTAACAACCTACAGAAGGAATTACATATCAATCTTGGTGTGTAGAAAATACCCATTTAAATGCAAAGCCAAAACCATATTTTTTTCTGATAAATTTCCTTAAATTTAACTGTGCCATTGATAATAATGTCCCAATGTGTCATGTAAAAAACTAGGTGTCCTGTTTGATACAAATTTTTTCCTTTACAGATGGTTTAGTCCTTAAAATAAACGAAGAATTAAAATTTTATGGATTTATAGTAAGAAACTGTAGCAGTTTACTGACGTAAGTGATATTAAAACATCGCACTTTGTGTATCTACGTTCTGGGCTAAAGTACGTAGTGTGTGTTTCGTATCCTTTTTGTAGTATACAAAAGACAGTTGTGGAACGTGTTCAGAGAAAGTTTTTGAAGTACCTAGTTTTTAATGATGTTATTGGACTAGATTAAAGGTTTGTATACAAGCTTCTCACAATCTTATTGATTGCTTTGAGTTTCTTTCTTCTATAAATTGTATGTACCTAGGATAAATTCAGATCATCATAAATTCTAGGTGTCAAGATAAGGCTTGGCAACTTGATTTATGGGTGAGTGTACTCGTTGAACTTGGACTAATGACTCTTAATTCATTAAATGTTTAAATTTGTTTGTCTTTGTAGAAAACACTGGTGGTATATTTAAAGAAGACGAAATAAAATTGACGCTTTATTTTCTTAAATAAATGGTATGACAATTTAATAATACATTAATTGATTATACCAAACAAATTGATCTGCCAATTGTTTTAACAATGTCAATAAAACACCAAAATCTTAGGCTGATAGTGACATACATAAAACACAAATTATAATACAAAAATCAAGTTGATATAAAATGTTAATATTATACATCCAACTCAAAACAATAATGGGTTTAAAAAAGAGCACACCAAGTACATTTTTATCCTACTCCATACGACTAAATCAATATGTGCCTCCAATTATGGAAGCGCAGATACATTTAT